AGAGAGAAGGACTTAATAAAGGTCTCAAATTTATTATTTTTTTGGCAGGGGGAGGTACCAAATTACTTTATTGGAAGGAATGGTATAAGAAAGGAACTTAAAAAGATGTTTCGGTGCAACTTCTAGAAAAGGTAAGGGTAACCCCAACAGGCATGCACTTCCTTGGTGACCAGGACGTCACCCCCGTGGCTATGGAAGCCAGCCCGAGGCTTAGCTCTTGTCGTCACTGTCTCCCAGGGTGCGCTTGTCAAAGTGACAGTCTGCCGGCCAGAGTTGGGACCCCCATCTTGCACAAGTTCGTTATGTGGTCGCCCAGTTCTTTGATGGATTTCACCTGCTCATTCAGGTCATGCGTCTCAATGAAGTCACCCAAATGGGGGTCATCTTGTCAGTGGCCAGTTTGTGCGGTTCTGGTAATAACAGATCCATGCTCTTTTCCATGTAAAATGCACTCTCTGGCAGATTCAGCCTGTTCTCCCAGGTGTCACGGCCCGGTTTCTTGATCTCCTCAAGGAAGATTCGGCCACCTCGTTGGTTCTGCAACTTCATCGGTTTCTCACTCTCCTCACGAGATCAGTGAAGAAAAGACTTTGCAAAGTTCTTCAAAGCAACATCACTGGGTCAAGGTCGTCAAGGCACGGGTAGGTCGAGGCACAGAGCTCCAGGTTGGTCTGGAGGTAGATGGCTGCCCGGAGTCCTGCTGGCTTTGCCGGGGGGATGCAGGTATCCTGGCGGTGGCAGCGGGGCCTGGGGGGTCTGAGGGCCCCGGGGAGCAGGGGCCCGCTGGGGTTGGGGAGGAGGGCCAGGTGCTCCAAGCACTACTGAAGAAGGACACCATGGCAAATCTCTCTCAGACTGTCTTGGATTCCAATAGTGGAGCCCAGTGGATACTTGTCTCGAGGGGGGCAGCCCGACCAGAGTCTTTGTGACCCCAACCAGAGGCAGGGTAGACAGACAAAGGCTGCCTTGCCAGTTGATTGAATGTGCAGGCATTAGACCCAGAATAATGTAAAGAAGTCAATACTTCATCTCACTTCAACCTCAGTGGAGCCTTACCGTGAGTGTGTCTGGGTGCTGGGGGCGCTAAAGGGAACCTGGCTCCTTTGTGTCTTGTAGGCTGACGGGCTCCGGTTGTCCCCGCACTCCCTGCCCCAAACCCTCCAGTCTCAACCAGAAGAGCTTTGGCGCTGAACTGGCGGGAACACACGCACCGTAGAGGACAGAGGTCACAGCAGTTTTGACTTAATGCTTCTCTTGCTCTCTATTGTGGATGATTTTTCACTGCTCATCATGTCAATCTCCACTCTCTCTTTGAGTCCCAGTTCTTGGACCCAGATTGCCCTTCACTAGATTGTCAGAGGAATGAAACCAAATTGCTCTCCATCTGGAGAATCTCAGGTATTCTAGCCTTTGAAGATGTCTGAACTATATCAGTCTATTTTTTAATTTATTTTTATTATTTTTGGCTCCACCGTGCAGCTTGTGGGATCTTAGTTCCCCAACCGGGGATTGAACCCATGCCCCCTGCAGTGAAAGCGCGGAGTCCTAACCACTGGACCACCAGGGAAGTCCCCAGTCTATGTTTAAAAATGTTTTCCCTAAAATCTCCCAAATTTCTCGAACTGAACTTCGTTTCTGTTTGTCCCACACCAGTCCGCCTCGGGCTCTTTGCTCTGGGCATCCTATCAGTGCCCCTGCCCCACCTCCTGTCTTGATGTCTCTGACTCTCCAGACTTCAGGTGTGCTCACTGGGACCCTGTTGATGAAGCATCCGCTGAACCCCACCACATGACCTGGGATCTCTCTTGGCAGCAGGAAGTAGGGCTGTACCCACACAACAGAAAATCAAAACGTGTCCCTCGCCGCAGCCAATGTGTGCTCGGGTCTCAGAGTTCTCAAATGAAGCGGGATCACCCCCTTGCAAATACTCCTAGTAACATTTACTTCCACTAGTTCTGCCGTGGGGTCATCTGTGAACACTTGCCCTTCAGCAGAATCAGACACTAGAGAGTAGAGTTAAAATGTTGTGTAAATGACCCTTGACACTGAGATGGTGGAATTCTACACATCGAGTGGAATTCATTTTCTGCGAATCTGGGAGAGACTGCCTTTGTTCTGTTCTAGCTGCGGACCCTCTGGTGGCCTCATTTCCCACCCCGCCTCTAACCCGACTCTTCGGGCCTCACTTGACCTCGTTGCTAGGACTTGCCACATCCCAGAACCCTCCAACCCCTTCTTCGGTCACTCAGCACCACACCCTCGTTCCTGCTCTTTCTTCTTTCCCTGTTGCAGGTTAATTCTACAAGGTCTCACCTAAATTCTTCTCATATCAGACTCTGCCTCCAGAACTTACCCTTGACTTTCCACCACCCACAACAAGAGAACCCCTTCCCTGGGGTCACGCCTACCACCCCCTGCTGGAACATCACCGAGGCGGTTGAGTACCGCACCCGCCAGGGGTCCTGACAATGTGGGTGTGGTCTGCACACTGAGTGGGGGCCAGTCTTCGAGCCCCTCAACAATTCTGTGTGCATTCTTGGTTCTTGCCGCTCTAGACACTCGCCACTCTCTCCCCGGCTTGGTCTTACCAGGCACCCTGACTCTCCAGCGTCAGTGGTCCACAAAGCTCTTCACTCCGTGCCCATCTTCCCCGGGCAATCTCACCTTCTCCCTGGCTTTCCCCCATACACAGGGCTCCTGGGGTAAGCCTTACAAACACACAGAGCCTGATGTACTCTGGGTAGCACCTCCTGGAGGTCCCTTAGGCGTCTTAGGAGTCTTCCTGGGCCAGACTGAACTCACATTCTTCTCCCACAAATTGGCTCTCCTTCTGCCCTTCTTATGTTTAGTGACACCACCACCTGCCCAGAAACCCAAGCCAGAGCCTCAGTCCTCCTCCTGACTTCCAGACCTCCCCTAACATTGCTTGTTTTCCCCACCCCTCTCTCTGTGTCCCCTGCCACATCAGATGTCTCCTCAGGACGCCTGTCTGGGGTTTTAGGTCCATATCCCCAGCCTGGTACTGTCCACTGCACATGGGGGCATATGGCATGGTTGTTAAGTTGAGATTTGGCACATCAGTGTTCAAAATCCTACTTAGCATCAACCCTGTGACTCAGTAATCCCACTCCTGGTTACGTACCCAGCACAAATGGGTACATATTTCCAATAAGACAGAGACTGGGCTCTTCACAGTAGCTTCCTTCATCACGGGAAAGAGGAGGAAGGAGGAGAAGGAGGCGAGAAACAAAACAACAAGGACTAGAAGAAAACAAATGTTCACCAACAGGAGACTGGATGCATTTGTTGTGGCATATTCACACAGTGGAACACTATACTGCCGTGAACATGGGTGGACTCTGCTGCTCTCAACAACATGGGTGAATGTCACCGACATGATGCTGGCCAAAAGGAGGCAAACACGAAAGAGAGCACATGCCATATGAGTCCATTTATAGAAAGCTTAAAATCAGGCAAAACTAAGCTCTGTTGTATGAAAGGTGGATAGTGTTTACCTTTGGGGAGGAGGGGGGGGTAGTGGCTGGGAAGGGTACAGAGAGGTGTTTGGGGCCCTTGGAATGTCATGTCCTACTTGTGATCCTGAGAGGTGGCTGCACAGATGGGTTCACTCTGAGATAATTCATCAATCTATACACTTAGGGTTTTTCCAAATGTATGCTATACCTCAATACATTTTCTAAAAGTTCAGCTCTTTTTGGCTTGGGCAAGTTATTTAAACACTGTAGGGCTAAATTCCCTCTCTACAGGTAGTAACACCTCCCTTACAAGGTTGTAAGAGAAGATTGAGAAAAGCAATACATGGGAAAGGTTTAACATGGAAAGTGCCATTGAATGAGCGCTGCATTAATATTAGCTAATATCCTTATGATTAGCACTCAGTAAAGGTTTGTGAAAGGAGGGATAAACCCAGAGCCCCAGCTCTCTCCCCACCCCAGAAATTCCTTTTATCCCTGTAGCTGGAGGCTGTGCCCCTACAGAAGGCCTCCTAGGAACCCTCTGGGATAGAGCCCACCCTCCTCTAGCCCCCCGCTGAGAATGGAATTCCTGCTTCCACCCCACTCTGTGGTGTGAGGAGGGCGTCTCCCAGCTCCAGATCTTCTGGAATTCAGGACTGTTTCTAGTACTACTCATGGTTCAGGCATTTCTCTTTGGCTTGGAAGCTTAACCATTACTCATATCATTGTTTACCCCCAACTCCCCACGGCCAGATCAGCGATGGCGGGGACGCTCACTCTGTGTGTCCCTTGGACCTACTGCTGCTCGTTTTAACCCCAAAATAACACTGAGGATGAAGAATGTGCCCAGTAGCTACCAATCCCCAACAAGCCCACTAGAAATAAACACTGTTCTTCAAGATCAGCCTTGTTAGGGGGATATTATTAACACACTACCTAAGGAAGCAATGAGCTTCCCTTGGCAAGTAGGATAGTCTTTCAGCTACTGTTGAACCCCTTTGTGCTTCAGTTTCTCTGTCTGTAAGGATGGGAATAGTAGTAGCACCTTCTTCATAGTTTTATTAATGAGGCATAAATGAGCTAATTTATGTAAAATGCTTAAAACAGTACCTGGCACATAATAAGCTTTACATATGTTAGTACTGGGATTACTGTCGTTCTTTAGAACACAAGCACATGGTTCCTCCAGTTGAACTGTCCTGAAGGGAGAGCTGTGGTCTTCCTCTGCTCCAAATACCGCCAGTTATACCAGATTCCAGAAGAAGGAATTGTAGAAGCAGAGTGGAGCTCGCCAAGGGTACCAGCCACCTGAGACCCAGGTATAATTAGGGAAGATTGAAAATGGAAGCAGTGAAAGATGGTAAACAGATTAGGCAGGGATGTCATTGTCATACTCTCCAAACCTCCAGTGCCATCAGGTGCCACAAAATTGAGGTGGACCCACCTTGGGCCATCTCTTTCACTGAGTCCAAGCTATACTGCTTGCTGCACAACAGGCCAGTAAACCGGGAGACAAGTCGTTGGGGCAAGGAATAGTGACTTTATTCAGAAGGCTAGGAACCAAGAAGACGGTGGACTTATGTCCCAAAGAACCATCTCCCCTGAGTTAGAACTCAGGCTTCTTTTATACTAAAAGGGGAGGGAAGAAAGTCAAACATCTCTTGGTTCTGGTCAGCCCTCAGAGGGGATGTGTTCATTTCTTCCTTCCTGCAGTCATTCACAGGTGGGCCTGGTCATGTTGTTTCCTGTGAGCTAAACAAAGGTATTTTAGCTTAACACTCATTACCTGGGAGGCAGGGTTCCCAGAGATGGGCCATTATGTATAACTTAAGCTTACAGGTAATATCCCTTTAGTGATTAACTTGTAATAGAGTACAAAGGTTCTTCCCAGGAATTCCCTGGTGGTCCAGTGGTTAGGACTCCATGCTTTCACTGCCGAAGGTTGGGGAACTAAGATCCCACTAGCTGCGTCGAGCAGCCAATAAAACCCCCAAAATCCAAAGGTTCTTCCCTATTACATCTCCAGGGAGCCCATGGCCACCACCCAGCATCCCAGCATCTGTGGCAGCAGTGTCACCTTCTTTAAGCAGTTCCCTCTTTAACACAACCCTAGTTGCCCTTCCACAGCTGTGCAGTGGGACACAGTCACCTCCAGTCTGCCTGCCTCCTCTCCTTGTGGCCCAGGACAGGAGCACAGAAATAACATGGAAAAGCTTCCAGAACCTTACAGACTGCTGCAACCACAGACCTGATCTGGAGTTACCAGCTCCCTTCAACCGTGAAACCTGGAAGGCCCACTGAATTCCTACTCTTGGCTTTTAGTGGGGCACACTGGTCTCCTAGAACCTTCCTCCACCACCCTGCCAATCCCTTCCTGGGGCAGACTTCATCTTTCCCTCCAGAGGCGCTGCTTCCCAGCCCTGAAGATGGAAAAGCCACCCAAGGTACAACCACAGATATTCCCCAGTCTCTAGTGAGTATTTACATCTTTGAAACCTTCCAGACCCCAAATCCACCTCTCTGCCTCCAACCATAAATATATTTAGACCAAATCACCTCCCAAAGAGGTAAACAGAAAAATGTATCAATAAGAATAATTCTAAACAAACTGCCCATTTCTCCCAAAATAACAATTTGAAAATAAAAATAAAAGTATCTGAAAACTTCCTCAATTTATAACAGCTGATTTGCTAACTGTCTACACATTGCCATGCCATAGGACACAATTGTAAACTTAAAAAAAGAAACAGATTTAGACGTTTTGTGAATTCGGAGGCAAAAGAAGAAGAATCTGGGAAAAGTAGGATCAGAATCTCAATTACATTCCTTAAAATCAGGCTGAATATTGGTGAAAATGGGTCAACAACACTGTCTTTTTAAAAGGTGGGGGAGTTCAGTGGGAAAAGGGGATCAGCTGCTCCCAGTTGCAATTCACAAGGGAGCCGCTGAGGACAGGGCCTTTGGATGGGACGAAGTGAGTGGGATTCAGGAGGAAGCATTGGTATCAGGTGCTCGGGCTCCAGGTGAGGGCTCCACCCACTTGGGATGCAGGACAGAGAACCTGAGGAGACGTCTCCGGGAGGCTGGAGCAGGTGCTGAGTGGAAGATAGAGGGGGTTCAAGGCACCCTTGACCTACTTCAGCCTTTGGCTCAGGGCTAGAGTAGGGTCCATGGAAGGGGAAGGGAATTCCCTTGTGCTTTCTTTTTCCTCCTCTTTTCACTGTTAAAAAGTAGTTTTTAAAAAAAGGTAAAATCATGACTCTCACATACATATAAAAATAAATGCTTGTTAAAGATTTTATTCAACAAATGAAGGAACCAGGCACACATGCCAATCTGTTTAAAAGAGAGTCCAAAGAGCAGACCCACTTACAGATCAGGAATATTTAAATGAACGTGCAGATGAAGGAAACACTGGTTGTTCCAGGTGCCAGGAGAGAGAGAAGGCAATTACACCTCTCCTGAACAGGACAGACTGTGCATGTCTATAAACATGAATCCTTTGCATTGCTATTAGTTACTGTACCTGGTTGAACAACGCCCACCGAAAATTCACATCCATCCGAGAACCTGTGAATGGGACCTTATTTGGAAATACGGTCTTTGCAATGTAATCAAGTTAAGATGAGGTCATCCTGGATGAGGGTGAGCCCCAAATCCAATACGACTGATGTCCTTAGAAGAAGATGGAAGTTTGGACACAGACACACGCACGGGGAGAACATCATGTGAAGACAAGAGTGGAGATCGTAGTGATGTGTCTGTGAACCAAGAAGCCCAAGCATGGCTAGCGGCGGGAATGAGAAGCTGGAAGAGGTGGGGAGGGATCCCCCAGAGCCTTCAGAGAGAGGATGGAACTGCTGACACCCTGACTTCAGACTTCTAGGCTCCAGAGCTGTGAAACAATCCATTTCTGTTCTAAACCACTTAGCTGGTGCCACTTTGTTACGATAGCCCTAAGAAACTAACACAGGTACCTACAACTTACTGAGACAGAAAACAGCTCAAAGACAATGAAAGACTAGAATCAGACAACCTGGAAGGTTGTACTGTTGGTGGACGATGTTTTCCTACGCCTCATTAAATCTCCTTGTTCTCAGCATCCAAACCTGCGGAGGGCCCGCTTTCAATCTACCTGAGTCCATATATGTCCGAAGTCCTTGATTAGTATAATTCATTTCACATGGATATAGGACATTGGTGAGGCACCCTTTATAACATTTTGTTTAATGCAGACATAATTCTCCATGCCAAAAAAAAAAGCCTGACAAATAGTATTTTAATACACATCTCTGTTCCTAACCTGAGGGCTGCCTACTTTAAAATTTGGTTTTATGTCCATATAAAAAAATCAGAGTAGTTGAGATTCACAGAATAACTCTTGCTTCTCTGGGATTCATTGCTGTGTCATTCCATGTTAAGCACTCTTTTTTTTGGCTTCACCACAGGGCTTGTGGGATCTTAGCTCCCTGACCAGGGATCGAACCCGGCCCCCGGCAATGGAGGCACAGAGTCCTAACCACTGGATCGCCAGGGAATTCCCAAGCACTTTTTCTTTGGAAGTATTTAGTAGGAGTGGGGTCCGGCAGAATATGGCCGGCAGGTGTGGGAAATTGGGGGAAACATATTAAGCATTTTAATGTTATACTTGGAAAATTAAAAACAGATATTTATTTTATAATACAAACTACAGAGAACAAATAAGTCCCCTGAATGGTGCCTATAGGCAGAAAATAAAGCAAGAAAGGCTTTAGAGGAAGCTCACGTGTTAACACAATGTGTCCTATTCACCTGGATTATAAAATCCAAGTTTTTTCTGCTGCTTCCTACTGCACAGTATGTGAGCTTGCTGTTTAAATATAAGTATGCATATATTTTTTAATTAACATTGGATTTTATAGATACTGTAATAAAGTATAAAAGTAGATTCTGGGACCGTCTTTTGTTTGTATAAGTTAGCACTTATCCTTGAACTTGAGTTGGCAACATTAGACTACTGTCCAGAAAGATTATTTAAATCTTGCCATGGAGCCATTAAATGTGGTGGGCTCAGACCAAGGACACAGTCTTTGAACCTGAAAGTGGTCTCAGCATTCCAAATTTCAGACATGCCTGGGTGTCTGGACCCACCACTGGACACCCCTCATCACTCTACAAGTATGGGACCAGGTATTTCCATCAAACCTTTCATTTTTGCTTACTCTTCTTTTCTCTTTGGGTGGCTGAAGATGGCATCAACAATTTGTGGCAATGTTTATTGTCATATATGGATTCACGCAGGATGGAGTACTTTTTTTCCAGTATGTTGGAGTTCCAGAATTGTTGTGTAACTATGACAGAAATTCTTTTTTTCTTTAAGAGATGCCAACACATTTAATATTTTTAAATTTTATTTATTTAATTTATTTATTTTTGGCTGTGTTGGGTCTTCGTTGCTGCGCGTGGGCTTTCTCTAGCTGTGGCAAGAGGAGGCTACTCTTCGTTGTGGTGCGCGGGCTTGTTGCTGTGGCTTCTCTTGTTGCAGAGCACAGGCTCTAGGCGCGTGGGCTTCAGTAGTTGTGGCACGCAGGCTCAGTAGTTGTGGCTCGCGGGCTCTAGAGCGCAGGCTCAGTAGCTGTGGCTCATGGGCTTAGGTGCTCCGCGGCATGTGGGATCTCCCCAGACCAGGGCTCGAACCCGTGTCCCCTGCATTGGCAGGCGGATTCTTAACCACTGTGCCACCAGGAAAGTCCCTGACAGAAGTTATTGATTTAAGTGATATTTCAGCCAAAATATTTTAAGAGGACATTTATGTTTATACCTTTGCTTTTCCTGCAAAGGAGAATTTTCGGCTGCACGTAAGATTGGACAGAACTAGAACATAATATCAGGAATCAACAAAGTGCAGAAGGTTTTGTATGATTCAGCTTTTTCCATTACTAAGATTAAAGCAACAATAACAACAAAACCAACCTTTCACAGTGGAGAAACTCGTCAAAATTTGCATTCTGACAGCTGCTCAAGTTTCCTTTGGAGAAGAATCTAAGAAAAAAATTCAGATTGCTGTTCAAGCCAGTCCAATTTTTCAATCAAATAATCATTAACTGAATTAGCTTAGAACATCAAACTTCAAGTTTTGCAAAAGACTGAGTTAATGCCCCTCTTTTCCCTATGTGTGCTGAGTAAACCAGTAGAGGAAATTGAGCTTAATAATTTCATTAGGCTCAATGGCTCGAGATACTGTTGGAAAAGAAATGTGGTTTTCTCAGGTCTTACACATCGTCGTGAAAGCTGATGACAGTTTGGAAGCCATGTGAAAATTCTTCAAAGTAAATTAGTCAAATAGAAAAAAAAAAAAAAACATTAATGGTGTTCTGCCCTGGTGATGCTCCTGAAATGCTGGGATTTGCAGATACCGAGCAAAAATCAAAGGAAAACACTCATTTCTGGAATGTGCTGTATCATGCATCGTCAGTGTTACCTTTCAAACTTCTGCCCAGGAATTGATAAGAAAACCTCAACCAACGGTAATCAACTACATGAAAAGCTATGCATCTGAGGGTTGCCTCAGATGATTCACTTCGCTCTGTATGAAGATCTGAATGTCAGTCAGAAAGTTCTCCACTAGGGTTTGATGATTGGCAAAGGGAAATAAACACCTTTACATGCTGGAAGGGGAGGTGTCGTATTTGTGGAATACTAGGGTAAAAACATACAGCTGTAAAGTTCTTAAAATGATTATCTTTCAGCAAGTCTTGTCCTATTGACAATTATACTTGAAAGTTGGAATATGAACTTCCCCTTAGGAAAACACTTAGTGCCCGAACCAAGTCACGGATGCTGAGAATCGTTGCTAAAACTGTCTTTTTATACTTTTTCAACCTAAAACTTTCAAAGACAAGGTTATTGAAAAGTATTCCATGAAAAAGATAAATGTGTATCTAGTGCATATATATGCTGAATTCAGGATCTACTTTCTAGATGCCATGGCTGAAAAGTCTCATCTCAGAGCTTATCAAGAAACTCCCTTTTCCCCTAATATGCCATCTGTGCTGGCAAACATCTCCAAGAAGAAATTTGGAAGTTCCGGCTTTTGCCAAAGGTAATTTCCAGAAAATCACAACAGAGGTCCTTGCAGGGGGCCTGCTGAGAGCAGCCGTTGACCTTTCCTCCTTTCTAAGGGCAACAGATTTCATTCAGGTGCACGCCCTCTGCCCTGGGGAAGCCCAGTGTTGGGGAGTGGGGTGTAGGTACCATTTCTAGTTCCAGGGGTTGGGCTGTGGTGGACTTCTGCCCATCAGCACAGCACAGCACAGCATCCTGGTCACATCATGGGTCCATCAATGATCATATAGTGGAAACTGTCCAATCACATGACCCTCTGACTTCTTGGGGGTTTGCAGACAGACCCACTCTGTCTCCTACTGGACATGAAGGAGAAAGTAGCTGGCTTTGACTTCTACAGGTCCACAAGGGGGACAGGCCTCAGGATAAAACTGTCTCTACGAGAGGAAGACAGCTAGGGTTCCCACATCACGTACCTGAGTCACCACATCAGCCTTCAGGGAAATCCGTCCACCTCCGGACTTCCATTATGGGAGCCACAGCACCTCCTTTGTCGTCTGAGTTGGATTTCTAATTACTTGTCACATGAGGAATCTTTGCTAAATCTGAATCTCGTGCCAGGAGGCAGGTGTGGCAAATCAAGAAACCCTAAGACACCAAAACTGCCTGGAGAAGGGTACAGCGGTCTTTTGCCCAGTTTTGAAACTAGCGGCTCTTGCTACATGCTTGCAAAATGGTTAAACTGTCTTCATTTACATCTTGGGAAACAGGCCATGTGTCCACCAAGATAGTATCAGGGAACTTGGTAGGGAATGTTCTGGAATGTGTTGGCCAATCTTCATAGCCTCTTGTAAGGTTTTAAAAGGAAAAACAAGAAACACAACTTGGGTTGAAGGTGGCCGAGGAGGAATGAGAGCCAATAATCCCTGTTAATCATGACAGTCCACTGACATGATGACTTTGAACATTTGGAGGTAAAATACCTCTCCTTAAAGAAAGGGAGAGGGCTTCCCTGGTGGCACAGTGGTTAACAGTCCACCTGCCGACGCAGGGGACACGGGTTCGTGCCCCGGTCCGGGGAGATCCCACATGCCGCGGAGCGGCTGGGCCCATGAGCCATGGCCGCTGAGCCTGCGCGTCCGGAGCTTGTGCTACGCAACGGGAGAGGCCACAACAGTGAGAGGCCCGCGTACCGCAAAAAAAAAAAAGGGAGAAAACATTCCTATTGAGATCTCATTTTTTACCCACATGTATCTGATTTTTTCCCTTACTATGGACTTTAAAAACTAAACAACACAACAGACCTGATGTCGAAAGGGCCATGCTGAGCCCCGGGCTCCTCTTCTGTAGGAGGCACAAAAACTGCAATGTTTATAAGAGCCGACAATTTTTAAAATGTATCTTTAGAGACAAAAATATCATTTTCGGCTTCCCTGGGGACGCAGTAGTTAAGAATCCGCCTGCCAATGCAGGGGACACGGGTTCGAGTCCTGGTCTGAGAAGGTTCCACATGCCATGGAGCAACTAAGCCCATGCACCACAACTACTGAGCCTGCGCTCTAGAGCCCACGAGCCACAACTAATGAGCCTGTGTGCCACAATTACTGAAGCCCATGCACCTACAGCCCGTGCTCTGCAAAAAGAGAAGCCACCACTCGCCACAACTAGAGAAAGCCTACGTGCAGCAACAAAGACCCAATGCAGCCAAAAATAAATAAATAAAAATAAATTTAAAGGGCTTCCCTGGTGGCGCAGTGGTTGAGACTCCGCCTGCCGATGCAGGGGACACGGGTTCGTGCCCCGATCCGGGAAGATCCCACATGCCGTGGAGGGCTGGGCCCGTGAGCCATGGCCGCTGAGCCTGCGTGTCCAGAGCCTGTGCTCCGCAACGGGAGAGGCCGCAGCGGTGAGAGGCCTGTGTACCGCAAAAAAATAAATAAATAAATAAATAAATTTAAAAAATATATATCATTTTCTTCTACTATTACCATTGGTATTGGTTGGGGTTTTTTTTAGCATGTTATTTGTCTTGAAATTTCCAATAACATTAAAGGAAAGCATATGATTTTTTCCCCCTCAAAACGGAGCTTGGTTTTGGAGTTTGAGGATATTCTGCTGGAGAATCTAGAAGCAGAGAAACTCAAGCTGCCTGCATATATTGTCAGAGGGAGCCCAAAACCAAAAATAATTGAAAGATCATAGAACAGGCAGCAGTGTTTGACTGAAGAAGTCAGGAGGAATTTGATTTACCAAAAAAAAAAAAAAAAAAAAATCACTTATCTTTAACTTTTATAGAACTTGTCTGTTTTAAAAGGAGAGAGTAATTGAACTGATTTCCACTTATAGCCGCCTCCCTGCCAAAGTTCTCAAAGCTTGTTTTTTTCTCATGATGATAATACCTGTACCTTGCCTTTCAGTAGCTCCAGGGAGCTCAAAGCATCTTGCAAATATGATCTCATTAGTCCCGATTCTATCCCCAGACACTTTATGCACATTACCCTGCCTTTGTAAAGTGACTGTCAAACTCAAAATGGAAAATGACACCAAATCTCCCGCAGTTCTTTTCTTAAATGCCGTAAGTAGGTAAACGTGTGTATTATTCTAGGTTGTTGGTTGCAAACAACCAAACTCCCACTGCAGCTAGTTTAAGCAGAAAAGGGCTTTATTAAAAGATACTGAATAGCTCACCAAAATGCCTGGACAGCAGAGGTCCTGGTTCACAGACTGGCCATCCCAAACCTCATTCCTGCAGGGTTCTTTTTAATAGACTTTATTTCTTTTTTTTTTTTTTTTTTTTTGCGGTGCGCGGGCCTCTCACTGTTGTGGCCTCTCCCGCTGCAGAGCACAGGCTCTGGACGCGCAGGCTCAGTGGCCATGGCTCACGGGCCCAGCCGCTCCGCAGCATGTGGGATCTTCCCGGACCGGGGCACGAACCCGCATCCCCTGCATCGGCAGGCGGACTCTCAACCACTGCGCCACCAGGGAAGCCCTAGACTTTATTTTTTAAAACAGTTTTAGATCTATAGAAATGCTGAGCAGAAAGTATAGAGCTCCGATAAGCCCTGCACCATTTCCCCTATTAATAAAATCTAACATTAATGTGGTACATTTGTTACAAATAATGAACCGATATTGATACCTTATTATTAACTGATGACTGTAGATTATTCAGATTTCTGAAGTTTTTACCTAATATTCACTTTCTGTTGGCACAGTGATTAAGAATCTGCCTGCCAATGTAGGGGACACGGGTTTGATCCCTGGTCCAGGAAGCTCCCACATGCCGTGGAGCAACTAAGCCCATGCGCCACAACTACTGAGCCCACGTGCTGCAACTGCTGAAGCCCGTGAGACTAGAGCCCGTGCTCCGCAACAAGAGAAGCCATCACGATGAGAAGCCCGCGCACCGCAACAAAGAGTAGCTCCGGCTTGCTGCAAGTAGAGAAAGCCCGCGCACAGCAAGGAAGACCCAATGCAGCCAAAAAATAAATAAAATTTAAAACTAAAAACTACCTTAAAAAAAAATGAAAAATCCCATCCAGGATCCCACATTGCATTGAGTTGTCGCGTCTCCTCAGGCTCCTCTTGGGTCTGACAGTTTCTCAGGCTTTCCTTGTTGTTGATGACCTTGAGAGTTTTGAGGGATTCATCAGGCATTCTGTAGGATGCTCTCCTATCAGAATCTGCCTGATGTTTTCCTCATGATTAGATAGGGAGGATGGGTTTGGGGAAGAAGGCCGTAGAGGTAAATTCCATTTTCATTACATCCAAAGGTCCACACTCTCAACATGATTTATCCCTGTTGACGTGGACCTTGGTTGTTTGGCCAAGGAAGCCTCTGTCAAGTTTTTCTACTGTAATGTTGCTCTTCCCCTGTCCCCCTTTCCACTCTGCGCCACAGGGCTGTTATTCAGTCTGCTTCCAGAGATAGAGAACTGTCAGCGATAACGATCGCGAACACAGCCTTCAGGAACCCCTGGCTGCCTGCGTCCCCTGCAGCCTCCTTCCTGCGCTTCTCCCGATGGAAGGATAGCACCGTAGCTCCATCACCCGTGCAGCCCTCATAGGCCCCGCCCAGTGCCCTGCACACAGTAGGCGCTTGAATCTTTCAAGGCTTGGAATAGAATTGGATTTCACCTGAGAGTTAAGAAAAACCACTCAGGGGGTGCTGGTAGGTGTGTGAGGGTAAGAGCTGCAGGAGCTGAGATCCGCTTGGCCGGTGAATACGCTCGCACAGGAGTGGCCAGGTGCTGGGGCTCTGATCTTGACTGACCCCGTTCCATTCTGCATTTAAACAACCTACTTGGAAGAGGCTGATTTAGGTACATGGGTTTTACTTATTTTCTTTCCCCAGGGGGTGGAGGCTCTCTCAGGCCCCTCAAGTCAGCGGTTGGAGTTTATTGTCATAGAGGTTCTATGTCAGTAGGATCTTCTGAAAGTCCAAGGCCAGGACCTGTGCTGGGCTGGGCCTTGGCTTCACTGGAACTGGACTTGGGGGGTGTCTGCCACAGGTCAGGCCACCTCTGCCCTGTCTCCCTATCGCTGTCCGCAGTGCTGGCTTCCTTACCGTGCACCCCACATCCTTCTCTGCTCGTCCCATGGCCCCACTCACAGCACTCTGATGGGCCTGGGACCACCAGCCCATGATGCCTTTAGCTCCTGCCCGATGGATTCCAGAAACCAGGAAGCTGATGGGCCCAGGGCTCCCCTCACTGTCAAGGCTCTCTGTGCCAGGCCTTTTGCAGGCTACCGTAGGGATCCCTCTTGGGTCAGCAGCCCCCTCATCCTTGGCCAACTCAGCTGGGGCCCAGAAGGTGGGCAAGTTCCCCAAGACAGGGCTGGGGGCTGCCCAGCAGCTGGGCTTACACGTCATCCAAAGACCTGGAAACAGCCTGGCCTAATTTGCAGCTGAAACCAGGAAGGTTTCAGACTCATGCAGAGAAGTTGGAAGGGTCAGGGGCAACCAGCACGGCGGTCCAGGAGAAGCCCCTGCCCACGAACGCCTCCAACCTGGACACCGTCCCCACTCACCCTTCCCCTGCAGAGCTAGCCTGGGTTCAACCTGTTTCACCAGAATCTGCTTTTATACAATCCACCTAAGCTGTCAGCCGCGTGCTCTTCCAGACCGGATTTTCTCAGTCTGTTTTTAAAGGAGCCTCTTGGCATGTTTGTGTGTGTTAAGGGAGGGGGGGGTGGCGGGGCACACAAGCAAAGCTTAAGCTAATGTTTACAGAGACTCCTTGGAACCAGCACGACGTAAACAGTAATAAGCAGCCACACTGATGAAGAGCGTGCAGAGCCGTGCGGGACCGCCTTCCCCAGCCGGGCTCGGCCTCGGCGCGGCGTCAGCCCCTTTCGCTGCCAGCAGCCCCCGGGGCGCGGGCGGCCGCGTGGGAGCGCCGGTTTGCTCCTTTCCACTCGCACAGCGCGTTCTTCGAGAAAGTACTTTATGCCTGTCTTAGAACCAGCGCTTCCTCGCGGGCGGGGCTGCGAGTCCGTACTCCCTCCCCCCTCCCCTTTCCCCTCCCCCATCCTGAAATCTTCATCTAGTCCTCAGGCGGCCAGGATGCAAGGAAGGGACGGGAGGTGGGGACACACGTGGTCACCCCCCAGCGCCTCAGCTGGGCCACAGACCTCCTCCAACCTGGCCCAGCTACCAGGCCTGCCGCCCCTCCTCTCCCCACTTCAGCCCTTCCCCCCCTCCCTCCCACCTCTCCCATCTCTCCCTCCCTCCCCATTCACCCTCCCCTCCCCTCCCTCCCTCCTCTCCCCACCTCTCCCCTCTCTCCCTCCCCTCCCCATTCACCCCTCCCCTCCCCCCTCCCTCCTCTCCCCACCTCTCCCCTCTCTCCCTCTCCCCCGCTTCCTTCTCCTCACGATGCTGATGCTGCCGCAGCCAAGCTTCCTGAGTCACAAGCATCTGAACACCTCGTGTCTCTCTTCTTCCCGCCCCGGTGTGCCCTTCCTCTCACCTTGAATTTTCTCCTTCTAGGCTCGGCTGCCCCAAATCCCACCCTCCTCTGAGCCCAGACCACACGGGCCCGGGGCTGGCGCCCAGGGGGCAGAGGGGGTTGAGCCCAGCTTTGCACGTGTTTCATTGCGAAGGACAGTAGGACCTCTAGGAGGGATGGGGGTGGCGCTGTGGGAGGGGCTCAGGGACAGTCCCCAGGATGCGGCTGTCCTCACCTAGAGCAGCAGCACAGAGCCGGAGACCGGGGTCCCCCAGGACCCCCTCTGCACCCTGCTGGCTCCAGGACCCCTGCAAATATAGCCTGGGCTGGGCCCTCCTTAAGGGGAGGGACTTGGCTTCACCCTAAAACTGTTAACTCCCCCAGGCCTGGGGGCAGCGGGAAGGGGGGTGCCCAGGAGGAGATTTCCACTGGACTAAAAAGAGAACTTCCTGCTGGGACCGTTGTAGGGGACCGCAGTAGCTGGTGGCCAGGCGTCCTTCCAGAGACGTTTGCCTTCCTCTGTCACTCGTGGAGCCCCAGGGAGCCGTCACCCGGCTCCTCTGATGGGGGCTGTGTGTGAGCAGAGCCGGCACAGAGCCAGCGCTGCGTTATGTAAGCGTTTGCTTAAAAAAAGTCAAGGAGAGAGGCACCAGCAGGGATGGATGTGCCAGGCTTTCCGGCTACAGTTCGGTGGAACATGTGAAATCTTTAATTAGCAGTAATGAGAGCCTCATTCCTTTCAGACGCAGAGCATCGGCCACGTGGTTGAGGGGCCCACGGGCCCTTCTCCGGGGAGGGGAGCCATTCAGTCATAGTACTGGTTCTAGGTCAGCTGTAGGATGAAACGACAATAGACACTGCAGGAATTTTGCTTAGGGTGATCGGGTCTAAATTTGGAAGTGGACGTTGATCTTTTTGGGTTTTTTTGTTTTATGTTGTATTTATTCATTTATTTTGTGTTTGTTTTGTTTTTAATCATGCCAGCCACAGCGAAGTCCTGCAAAGCGCATTTCAGAAAGCTGAAGTGAATTAAAAACGATTCAAGATCATCACTAGGTCTTGACTGGGTTTCAAACATGGCAATTCTCCCAGCCGAAAACGAGATAAGCTAAGAAGTATATTTTCAAATATTATGGCTGCATTTGCTTCCCTTAAAGTCTGGAAAGCAAAATTAAAACAAAGTCTGGTTTGGATATAAATAATATATTTAAGCTTCAAAAACCAACAGTGGAGGGGGGTGATAGGATCCCTGAGAAACCTGCACACGGAGTTCCAGTGACTCAGTGCCTGCAACAATGGCTCTGAGGGAAGCAAGACTTGGGAGGACGTTGGGATGGGGCAGAAGACAGATGGGGCTTGTGAGGTCCTGAGGGTCAGGGAAGGCCACTCTCCAAAGGGGCATCATTATGCAGGGAGTGATGGGTCTGTGCTGTATCTTAACTGTGATGGTCGTTACATAATTTTACACATTTGTCAAAAATCATTGACCAGTATGTGGTATAAATGACCTAATATTATAAATTACATTTTACTCTGTAAAATACTATATATAAATATGTATTATGTATTTATAAATTATACTAGATAATTATGACAGCATAGACAAAACAATTATAATATTATATAATTCTATAAATTATATTCTGTAAAGTAGAAATGGTTTTACACTTCAACGAACTGCCTTAGAAAAAGAAAACATCAGAAGCGGAGGGAGGGTCGCTCAGGGTGGAGCTGCCACCCGTCTACCCACCCACACGATCTGCGTTAGCCCTGGACTTACCTCTGGACAACTTGACCGCCCCCCCGCAGTTGGAATAAAAGGATGTTGGAATACAACCATACCCTCAAGTGTCTCCCTGGCCAAGGTATCCATCTGGTTCTGTCCCCTCCTGTTCTCCCCTGGCTGGGGACCCTCCCAGGCCTGTGTCTGAGAGGACAAAGGGGCCTCAAGTCTCTGCTGACCAGGGGCAGGGCTGCCCCGAGGCTGTGTTTCCTCCACAAGGAGGTCTTCAGGCAAAGAGGCTCCCCCAGCCCAGGAGTCCCAGCTCCTAATTACGATGTGGACGGCTAATCATTGCCAGACCTGTGGGCAATTCTGTACCTCTGCTCCCCTCGCTCTGTCACTGTTTCCTTCTGCCCTAAGGACTTTTCATAACATCATAATCTTACTCAGTAGCTACACAGAGGATGTTATGCCCCCAAACGAATGTTCTGGAATTTACCACGGAGAAAGTGGAGGCCTCCTGGCAGTGAGTGAGCTTTCCAGGGAGGGCTGGCTTGGCTGATACATTAAAAGGCTTATGATGGGGCAGAAAAACTAGTTAAGGGTGAATCTCAAAAATAAAAAGCCGGTCTTCCCTGGTAGTCCAGTGGTTAAGACTCTGAGCTTCCACTGCAGGGGGCCCGGGGTCCATCCTTCTCTGGGGAACTGAGTTCCACTAAGATCCTGTATGTCACACAGCGCAGACAAAAAAAGAAAACAACAAAAAAAACTACATATTTTCTGCCCCCAGAGTGGAGCTGAAATTGGTTCACTCAAGGCTCCCAGATTCTACATAACTTGCTCACTGTGGAGCTGAGAAAACCAGAAATTTTCTGTTCAGGGTGTGTGTGTGTGTGTGTGCGTGTGCATGTGTGTGTCTCTGTGTGTGTGTGTGTGTGTGTGTGTGTGTACACAGCTGCTTTGCAGTTACTTTGCTTGCCCAGTTGCTCTCTAATGCATAGAGATAAAAAAGTAAGTCAAGTTCCTTTTTCTAGCCAGCTTCAACGTTCTTCATTTTTGCAACACAGAGCCGCCTCGTCTTTAGATTCGGGTGGCAGGCAGAGAGACACCTGATGGTTCCCTGTCCCCGCTCACCCCGGCATCAGCATGGAGAAAGATATGACTCGTGCCAGCCCCGAGCAAGTACTCAGGGCGATTTCCCGGGACCTACAGCTAATCCAAGGGGTCAGGGAAGGCCTCCCCTTCCCCGCACGGTTCATCTGGGCTCACCAGGAGCAACTCATTCCTGAGTGTTCCTCTCCCTGCAGCGCTTTTCTGAAATGCAGCCACTCCGGGCAGGGCCTTCGTGAGTCACACCGCCCTTGGGACAGTCACCCCCTCTGTCAACTGTCCCCCTGCCCCAGCATGGTCGGGGGTCCCCTCCTCCCATCTCTGACCCTAGACTCCTGGAAGGATGTGGCGCATCTCTTTAAAGGCGCTGACCTGTCTGGAGGGGCCGGGTGTGTGCGGAGGGCAGGGCTTGGGGCAGGGGCCTAGGCGGGGATGTAAAGGGGTTGGAGAAGCTGGAAAAGAGGTGGGTGCACAGAAGAAGAAGCGGGTGTGGAAAGGGACAAATCCCAGTGCCTCATTTTTGTGTAGGAAGAGTTTCTAAAATGGCTTACTTTTAAAAACCTAAACCCATCCCAAAGCCTCTGCTTTTTATAGAACATCAGCCCCTGGTTCCAACTTAGCAACCCTTAATCTTCCACCGATCTAGTTCTGAAGTGACTATTAAGCTGCTGTGTTAGGACGATCAGCCCTGATGAGCAGGGGGAGGAAAGGAAAGGGTGGGGTACGGGCCGGGGCTTAGGGAGGTGCCACTCAGCCTCTGAGGAGCCCGTGGGAGCCGGAAAGGCGCAGCCGAAGGGGGTGACCTGCGCCAGGCACTGCCAGCCACCAGCCTGGGCTCCGGCACACCCTGCGCCCCATCCCCTCACTGTCCCGGGGAAAGACCTGCTGAGTCAGCATCGTGGTCCTCACGCTGAGGCATCTCTCCTTCCTCTCTTTCGCTTTTGTGCATCGTAGGCGGATCACCTAGGATCAAGCAAGCAGGGCATCGCATTGGTCAGGAAGGATTCGTTTTCCATGCAAATCAGAAGGTTTCTGAAGAAAGTGGTAATGTTCTCAGAAAGCTGTGGTCCACCCCTGCCCGGGCCTCGGGTGCACTCACAGGGCTGCTTCAGAGCAGCCTTGAGCTGGGGCCGCTGCTCTCCAGCGCCGCCCTGGGGGCCAGGCCAGGACCAGCGCCCACATGGGAGCTTCCTCGGCCTTGGCCCAGTGTATTCGTCTCCCGAGCGCTGTAACAAAGTGCCACACACTGGGTGGCTTAAAAGAACAGAAGTGAATTCTCATAGTTCTGGAGGCCAGAAGCCCAAGATGAAGATGTCGGCAGGGTTGATCCCCTTTGGAGGCTCTGAGGGAGAACCTGTTCCCTGACTCTTTCCTGGCCTCTGGTGGCTGCCGGTAATCCTTGGGGTTCCCGGGCTTGCAGCTGCATCACCCCAATCTCGGCCTCCATCATCACATGGGCTTCTCTTCTGTGTCGCTCTGTCTTCACATGGCCATCTTCTTACAAAGACACAGGTCATATTGGGTGAGGGGCCCTCCCTAATTCAGCATGACCTCCTACGATCTCAACTTAATTACATCTGCAAAGACTCTGTTTCCAAATAAGGTAACATTCTGAGGTTCCAAGTGGACATGATTTCGGGTAGGGAGGACATTATTCAACTCCATACACCCAACAGAACACCCACAGCCCCAGAGAGAAGGGTGGCTGGTTTCCTTTGGCAGGATGTGTCTCAGAGGCAGGATGTGCCCAGAGAAAGTCTCCCCTTGAGATCCAAGGAGATGGAGGTGTCATGAAAGCTGAGCCGCCTAAAGGCCAGTGTCAGGGGCCGGGTGCTCCAGCCGCCAAGGTCCCTTACCCTGGGTGGGCAAAGCTTGGAGAAA